TTTGCTATGAAGCTGAAACTAGGATTACTAGATTACCAGATTACTTTCAATCAGCTCTGACACAGATGATCCTCCATGCCATGATGTCAAACTGTCTAGCATCTTCTCTCTCGGTCTCCCTCTGCCTCTCCTCCCCTCCAATTTTTCTACTCCTCACGATGTACTCCAGTTTTCTCCTTCTCATCACAAGGCTAAAGAATGTAGATTTTATTTTGGCTAATGTGGCAATCAGTTCTCTTTTGAAATTAATTTTTTTTTTTTTTCAAGACATCCTCAATATTTTTTTTATCTGTCCAGGGTATTATCGTCTTTCGTCTACAAAACCACATCTCCACAACTTCCAAATAATTTTTCAGAAGGTTATCTTGCGTGCCCGGCTCGCTAGATCAGTTGGTTAAACCTGACTGCGCGGCGACCGGATGACGAAATCCTTGTGGTCCGGGTTCACGCCTGGGGTAGGCAGAAAAGCTACATTTCTCCCAGGTTTACGGTATCTATCAAAAGGGTAAAACTCATGGTTTCTGGATAATTTAAAAAAAAAAAATTATGTAATAGGAAATATGTGATGGGAAATGAATAGCACTCATATCAGGGGAAATGCAGGAAGGAATACAATCTCACTGCTATCTGTACCTACAGAACTGGAACTCAGCGCTGGTTGTTCAAGATGAAGACGGTTCGTGTATAGGAATGTCCCTAGTGTTGTGATGTCGGTTCCCAGCTAAACTCAGCTCAACTGGGACATGCACTATATGCATATCCACCCGGTATGGACATTGTTTCCCCTACCAGAGACTGATTTTGGTCTGCAATATATACTAAAAATTAGTGGCGTAGCAATAGTGGGAACAAGAGGAACGACTGCTGCATAGGATCCTACTTTTGAAAACTGATGTGCCAAGTTCACTTGAGTGAGAGTGGGGGAAAAAAACGCCATCCTACTGTCTGCCGGAGCGATAATAACTTATATATTGTTTCTTAAAACCAGAAGAAATCATCATCATCATCATCAATCAGCACGTCTTCTACAGAACGTCGTTCTAGTCAAATTCTGAAAGTCTCTCTTTCTGTAGGCAATTCTCCAGACCTATGTGCCTTTCTTAGTAAATGCATTTTCAATTTCTTGCATCCACGCTCGTAGAAGTCAGCTTCTGCCTCACTTTCCAGCCGCTTTCTTCAGGCCACATTGATGTTTGGGATGGCCAGAATACCTCAACTATCAGGACAGAATGCTGTTTATGAGCCAGTTCTCCGTGATGCTAGGATCGTGCAGGATATCGTTGTTTTTCTACTTCTTGGTCTATGGCAGCGGCTGTCAACCGTCCTAGTGCAGTGACTTTTTAATACAATACCTCATGTGGAGGTGATCTTCCAGCCATACAGTTATCTTTGTTGCTACTTCATAATTTCAGTTAATATGTTCTTTACGATGGTCTTAGGCGACCCCTGTGAACGGGATCGTTTAACCCACAAAAAGGCGCGACCCACAGGTGAAAAACCGCTGGTCTATGGTATTCTAAGAAGAAATTTTCTGTAGCATTTCGGTTTAAAAGCTCCAGTTTTTTACTTCAGTGACTGAGTGAGAGTCCATGTCTCACGACCATAAGTTACCATCGGAAAGATACAGGGACCCCAAATATTTACTTTAACCTGCTTGCAGGTGCTTTGCCAGTAGGTTCTTCGTGCTGCTTAGTCTCTGCATTGATAAAGCTAGTCATTTTCTGACTTCTTTTATGCAGTCAGCATTTTTTATTTTTTGTATTATGTAGCCTAGATAGTCAAATTCGGTTTCCGCTAAGAGTTTTTAAGGATATGAATAGAATGAAATAGAACGAATACCGCGAAGGCTAACCCGGTCAACAAATGTCCGCAGAAGTCGGATGTGGTGGCCGAAAGGTGCAAATATCGCAGCCATGCTGTAAACGGACACAACGCAATTACATGATCGGATAAACGCAGAAAAAAAAGAAATAGAACGAAAAGAAATGCACACATCGAGATGAAGAAAAACCAAATGCAAAACGATGACTGTTTGAACTATTCACATATTAGTTTTCCCTGGGACTTTTGTTTAGTCTTTTAGTTCACCACTCAACATCTGGAAATGGCAGGTGAATCAAATATTATTTTTTTTTAAACTTTTACCATGTGCCTTCTCTTATTTTTAGTGTCCATCACCAGTAAACTTTGGCGGACAGTTTTTGGTTGTTCGTCCACTTCTAGACTTTGGTCCTGCTCTAGAGTAGCGGCTCTTAACCTCTGGGTCGCGACCCTTTTGTAGGTCAAAGGACCGTGTCACATGGGACACCAAATACCATCGGAAAACATATTCACTGAAGTTATGAAGTAGCGACGAAAATAATTGTATGGTTGGGGGTCGCCACAACATAAGAACTGTATTAAAAGGTTGCCACAACATGAGGAACTGTATTAAAGGGTCACCACAACATGAAGAACTGTATTAAAGGGTCGCCACAACATGAGGAACTTATTAGAGGGTCACCACAACTTGAGGAACTGTATCAAAGGGTCACCACAACTTGAGGAACTGTATTAAAGGGTCGCCAAAACATGAGGAACTTATAAAGGGTCACCACAACATGAAGAACTGTATTAAAGGGTCGCCACAACATGAGGAACTTATTAGAGGGTCACCACAACTTGAGGAACTGTATCAAAGGGTCACCACAACACGAGGAACTATATTAAAGCGTCACCAAAACATGAGGAACTTATAAAGGGTCACCACAACATGAAGAAATGTATTAAAGGGTCGCCACAACATGAGGAACTTATTAAAGGGTCACCACAACTTGAGGAACTGTATAAAAGGGTCACCACAATATGAGGAACTGTGTTAAAGGGTCACCAAAACATGAGGAACTGTATTAAAGGGTCACCACAATATGAGGAACTGTGTTAAAGGGTCACCACAACTTGAGGAACTGTATTAAAGGGTCGCCACAACACGAAGAACTGTATTAAGGGGTCGCCACAACATGGAGAACTTATTCAAGGGTCACCACAACTTGAGGAACTGTATTAAAGGGTCGCCACAACATGGGGAACTGTATTAAAGGGTCGCCACAACATGAAGAACTGTATTAAAGGGTCGCCACAACATGAAGAACTGTATTAAAGGGTCACCACAACAGGAGGAACTGTATTAAAGGGTACCCACATTAGGAAGGTTGAGAACCACTGCTCTAGAACTTGAGTTATGCGCGAACACCCGTTTTAGAGATCTGGCTTATTTGTATGCAGACTGTTGGTTCCTCGCCTTTCAGTCGCATGCGCTCTGACTACGATGGAAACATCCAAAATTTGTCGTTTTCATAAGCTTTTATTGTGTTTCAAACATGTTTGTCTAGTTAACCGTTTGCGTTAGATTCTTCTTACTTCATGCTTGTTAGGGAACAGGGTGTCTGCTTCTACTCCTCCGCCTACATAATAGGCACGCGGAACCAGTACGGGCAGTACCAAGTGTGATTGTCATGTAGCGTCGTGTATGTGGTGCTAAATTCACATTTGTTTTATCCACCAGTCGGCGCTAGTTGGGTCATGTGGTCATCATTTCCTGTTACCAGAGCATTTGGAAAAAAAGGGGGAGGGGGGGGGGGGGGGAGGCTGGACTTCTTTCGAAGTCGGGACTGCATCTGCCTGAGAGACAAGAATATAACAATCTGCATTCAAATAGGTCAGATCTGTGAAACGGAAGTGCACGCAACATCCAGGTTCTGGAACAAGAAAGAACGCCTTAAAAAGCTGTCGATACTACTTTGAATGTTGAATTAGGAATCGATATCATAGCTCTCGGGATACTTCCATAAGCACTCCGTTCCCATCCTCAGCAGCAAGCGATGAGTTCAGTTCCGATGGAACCAGTAACTGACTGACTGTATATCTGTCTCGCCTTTCCCTTGAGTGTTGAGAGTCGTCCAGATCCCCTGGTAACTCTTCACGGCGCTATTCTCCTCAGACCGTAAAGATGTATTTGTACCTCCGCACTGTTCACTCGCTCCCAAAGGGCCCTCACAATATCTAGTTTGTGATACAACAGTTCACCACCAGTTGGTGCAGAAGAGGCCAATCTTTCTGACTGCTCGTTTCCCAACACACCATCGTCACCTCGAGAAAATATTCAAAGGACGCTAACTACCCGGGACCTCTGAAGCGATGCTTGCCACTCTGCACGGAGCATGCCTGTCTTCACTTTTCTCAACATACTCTCTGAATCCGTTATCATTACGACATGTGTGTACAGCTGATTCTCAATCTAGCGGAAGTCAGCAGTGACTGCCTCCACCTCCATTCTCGGTACTACGTACAGCCATGTACCATCGCCACACACGTGCGCGTGCGCTAGCACACACCACACACACACAAAATATCTTCCCTCTTTTTCGGTCTCATTAAACACGCAAAACCTCACCGAGCTTTACATATCGATCATCACCGTCGCCAGCTTAAGGTAAATAATAACTGCTGACGGTTACCGTAAGAAAGTGATGATATAACCTGGTGATATCACTGACCTGCGACACAGCCATTCGATAACTGCTGGCTCGTGGCGTATGCACACGGTGGCGACGTGCATACAAACTCCCCTAGCACTCGATCACTTTGCGCGCACTCCCATCCTCCACTTTCCACCCCCTCACCCTAGACGCGCGTGACATCAGTGCTGTCGGTGACAAAAGACCTGATCGATTTGTATTACCTGACAGTCGTCGTCACGTGGCACTGTCTTTCTTCAAATCCATTTATTAGGTTATCTGGTAACAAACAGCTGTTATCTCTGCGACATTTCCCCCCTGCTGTCCCTTCCCGGCACCTGTGGAGTCTGGTGTCGGTGTTAACACACAAACACAATCACGTGTTTTTCAAATGTACCGTCTGCCCTGCGTACTTTAGTTGGCACTGTGTGCGTGCGCGCGCGCGCGTGTGTGTGTGTATGTGTGTGTGTGTATGTATGTATGTGTATGTGTGTGTGTAAAGAGGAAAAAGCGAGTGGTGGAGTGCGGGGGGGGGGCCGCGCTAAAAACAAACACTTCGGGGGAAAAAACACAGAGAACGTGTAACAATGTCAGGTAAAGTAGGTATAGGAAAAGTTCAATTGAGAGGATCGACTTCTTTGCACCGGGTTTTATCCCATATTGCTTGGTCTCTCTCAGCAGAACTGCTAGCCATCTGCCTAGAGCGTCGCACAGAGCACGATCTCCGTAGCTACGGTGACGATCTTCGGGGATTTCCGTACAAGTTACATCAATGAACAGAAGGGCGCCGCCGTTGAAACGAACCAACCTTCAGAGCGCGAGGCAAACGGCTTGACCCCTTGCCCATGGAGACCTACGCTAGAGGGAAGCTGCCGTGGTGTAGCGACTAGCCACTCACCTGTGGATCTGAATGACATAGGTTCTGGCTCGACAGACCCAGATGGGTACCAAATAGAGTCCTGGGAAATAAAGGGGGTCGGCGTGATTTTGACCACATCACCCACACAGAACCAATTGCTTATGTTTATTCGACGGATCCATACCATGGCACACAAGTGTAACCCATAAGTGCTCCGTTCTACTTATAACTCAAGTCTGAGTCTGAAGTGTATCAGCACAGTGCGCGAACTCCGTAGCACCATCGAGGATCCTAAAATACTTTGGGTAGATTTTTAACTTCAAATTTTACCTGGGCTACTTTTTTCAATCTCCAACTGCCGAGGGATTTTTTTTTACGTGCGCAAGAATACACATCGGCTTTCAATCTTACTACCCAGAAACCAGGGACAATTACTAGAAGTACGCTTAGAAAAAAAAAATCCCAGCCCACGCCGGGCTCGAACCCGGGACTTCCAGCACTGATAGTCGGTGTTAATATCACACCCTAGCAATCGTATTCGATTGGACTTTCCGGAAATTTCGTACATCAGAGGTTCTCAAACTGGGCCCCGCGGCACCCATCTGTTTTAATATTCAGTAGTCTCTAATGCGATAAAGGAATCTGTTTGGATGAATTTTTGCTTTATTTCCATCATGTATATGGGAAGTTTAGTTAAATTTATCCTCAATTCACTTGACCCAGAAAGTTTGCGCCCGCGTCTGTGTTTTTGTTTTTTTTTAAGCGTACGTTGAAAAGCACTGCAGCCTTGCCAGTAGCATTGTTTTCTTAATATACCTGCATCCAGAACTTTTGGCTTCCTTCGTGGTATTTCTGTTTTAAACTGCTGTCTTCGCTGATCTCAAGCAGATTTTGATAAATTCTTGATTATTGCCACGGCACCACTGGCACACGCTTGCGGCACCCCTGGATGCCACGGCACCCAGTTTTAGAACCGCTGCCTTACAGGACTTTGCAGAACCAACTTAAATTTGTGGATTTTCTAGGCAAATTTTACGTTCGCTAGTTTGCCATCGGTTACTAAACGGTCAGCTCTCGGCACCACTGTCGAAACTAACGCAAGACTTTCTGCTGCCAAATGGCTTGCGGCTGGGATTGAACCCGGCACCCCCGACAGTACGAAGTACGTTCGCAAATAGTACGAAGCACTTTCGCAACACCTCAGCCACAGTCGCTGACTGAATTGTTACAGGTTTCTCTGTAAGCTGTGGTCTTCAAACTGTGCAACTTTTCATCCTACAACTTCACCCCCGCAGCCTGGCATTTTGTTTCAGATTGAAACTATTATTTAAATGTATATTTCTTTCTTTGCCTGTCACGGTGCACCAAATAACTATAATGTCAAAACATTCTCGCGTTAATATTCGCGGATGTTATTGTTGCTTATAAGATTGAATCATTTATACAAGACGCACTTAACCACTTCGTTCTGTTGTTATTACATTGTCAGGTTTTATTCGATTTTTCATCCTTGTTTCAAAAATTCTTACATTTTCTGCATACACTTAATTTTTTTTTTTACCGCCGGTGTTGCCCCTCTTCCTGATACTTGACTTGTTTGTTGCGAACCAGACAGGAGAGGGATAACAACAGAACGGGTGCTGTGACCTAAGTTATCGCTTACTTGCGACGTCAAGATTACCTGTAATTTGCTTATTTTCACTAAAGGCATACTAGCAGACGTCATGTCTGCAAATTATTATATATTTGCAAGAAAATATCAATTTAATGTTGCTCTAAGGCGACGTGGCGTTGTGATATCAAAGTGTTGAACTTTTTTTTTTAATGCAAAGACTGCAAGCTGATCGTTTATTCGTCCAGCCATTTTACCTGTTGATAATAAACCTTTCCCACGTGCGGATCAATGGTGGTGTTGAGGCGCTGCAAGGGATACGTTGTAATTTTTTCAGTGGGAAAATGTGAATGGCTGTGTGCGCATTATACAAATAGTTTAAAATGGAATGGATGAGGTCTTTTTTATCCGCACGCTCGTGTCAGGTGACGGATCAGACAATAATATGAGCTTGCGTAACTTCAGCCGGCCTAGTAGATAATGATTCATAACAGTCAGTACGGAAGCCGCGCTGGCGCACTCGCAAGTACACATGCCAGGAAAAACAATGATTTATTAAGGTTTGTTTGGAAATAAGAGCGAAATTACAAGATTGGCCTGGACACTGGGCGGGATTTCGATTTGATGAGAAAAAACTATTTAAGCTGTGAGGCCCCTAAAAATTTAAAATTAAACCAGCTTATATAAGAAAACTTTAAACTGTATACGGTTATAGATGATGGAACTATCTTGCGGGTTAATAATTAGGGTTTAAGGTTTGAACAACGGATCAACATCATTGCAGACCCATAAGTGCTCCCTTTTACTTCTAACTCAAGTCTGATTCCAAATTAGCTCAGCGCAGTGCGGGAGCTCCGTAGCACCGGCGAGGATCCTGAAATATTTTGGGTATATTTTTAACTCAAAATTTTGCTTGGGCAGCGCCGTTAGGCTACTCTTTACGATTTCCAACTGTCAAGGGATTTTTTTACGTGTGCATCAATGCACACGGGCGTCCGATCTCACTACCCAGAGACCAGGGGCAATTACTAGAAGTCCAAGTCCACGTGAAAAAATCCCATCCCTCACAGAGGATTGAACGCTGAATCTCTAGCACTCTAGGCGGACACCACGCCTAAAGACCACGCAGCTCCCACTGATTATGATAATGATGGTGACGATAATAAAGCTGACGAACAGCATCGAGTCTCTGACGTTAATATGATTTCGCGACTTGGGAGTAAAGAATGGTCAAGCATGTCTGTATCGTTTTTGAGGTCAGTCTAGGTGGCATTATGACTAACTTCTCATGGCAACGGTCAGTAAGGTTACAAGTTAGCTGCGTATCCTTTACAGGGTGTTGTAGATCAGCCTCATGTATTTTTTGCTGTTGTCGGTTTCCTAGGCAAAGTTGCGTATGGTAGTTTGCCATTGCTCCCTGCACGGTCGACTCTCGATATTAGTGTCGACACCAACACAAGGCGGTCTGTTGCCAAATCGCATGCAGCAAGGATTGAACCCGGCGCCTCAGTATTACACAGTGCGTTCGCAACGCCTATACCACAGACACCGACTTCACTAACATACTTTAAGATAAGTGCTGCATCTGAAGACTAAATGCGTGAAGGAATGTGCACTTGATGATGATAATTATCTACATCAAGAAGACACACAGTTACGCCAATGTAGAACATAATATACAAACACACGTCAAAAAAAATATATAGCAATAGGTGTGAAAAAAAAAAACTATGGCGCACAAAACGTGTGTTTTACTGGTAATTCTCCAGTGATGATAAATATTCGTTTGGCTAATTTTTGTGTGTTGTGGCAACGCTCATTAACTGCTTCATTTTGCAATATATCAGGCTGAATTCCCTAGGCGTAAATGGTGTCTGTCGCTACAAGACAGATGTTTATCAATGTCGTTGAGAACACCAGCGCAGACATAACATTTTAGATATATTTTCGGTTGATCACGAGTTGTGGCACGTGTAATATTGGCACTGCATCCCCCCCCCCCCTTTTTTCCCCAATGACTGTTGTTAATGGGTCTTCCTTCTCTGCGCTGGCAGAGCCTGGTAATATGGCAGGCAGTGGAGGCTATTGATCAGAATTTGTTACCGGCAGTGTAGGCATTACACAAGTGGGGTGTGGAACAATCGGGGAGCAACTGTAATGTCATCAGTGTTACGCGGTGAATAGATTTGCAGGTATTGATTGACACTGACATAAGTGGTTATCAGAGCTTTCGTACAGATACACATACAGACCACACACTCACACAAGCACATACATGCACACGTATGCACATACACTCACACCATTCATACAGTATGTATCTGTATATAATAAAACAAACCACACATAGACTACACGCACCACACTTAAATATAACACCACATAAATGAACACCCACACTTTGGACAACCCCCTTCCCCCTTTCCCTCTTGCATTCTCGATACTATTTTTTTTTTTTTTTTTCTAAACAGGGTTTCATAGTTTTAGAACAGGGTATCAAAGTATAGTTTCAGAACAGCGTATCAAAGTATATTTTCATAACAGGGTATCAAAGTACAGTTTCTGAACAGAGTATCGAAGTATAGTTTCAGAACAGGTTATCAAAGTATAGTTTCAGAACAGAGTATATTTTCATCAAAGTATAGTCTCTGTGGCGAAGGAGTGAAGCGGTTTTGTCTCGCCTTTTGAGCATCGTGGGTTTGTTTCAAGGACTCGTCGTTCAGTTCATTTGGTTGGGGGGGGGGGGGGGGGGGGGGGGGGGGGTGGTCAGCGGGAGAACGGGACTGCGAGATTTTCCCCTTTGGTTTGCCACCTAAGATGATATTCTTGAAGTCCCAGGGGTGATCAAACCTTTAGGTAGCATGCCGGATGGGGGAAAACAGACAAGAAAAAACCCACCTTTATTGACATTTTGATATTTGTTCCACTTTCAGGTTGCTGAATTTTGCTACAGCAGCAGACGAGTTTGAGTTGAGCTTAAAGAGGCACAAACTGCCACGGGTAAGTCAGCAATGATGAAGGATTATACAACTTTGTTGTGCCACGTTGGCATGGAGTGTTCAGTTTACCAGAAGTTACTTCAACAAAAAGCATGTTTTTGACTGCGCATGATAATAGCCAGTGGCTGTCAGTTCAGCGTGCACTGGATCGCAAATGATTCCTCCCCAGCTTAATGGAAAAAGTGGTTTATGATGATAAAGATGTTTTGTGGTGGTTCTCCTTATTCTTCTTCTTACCACTCACAAGCTGTAAACTCCAGCGGAAAATTATGGCTGTTCCTCCACTTGTGGACTTCGGCCTTAATCCAAAACTTGAGTTTGGTATGCATATCCGTTTTACATGTCTGGTTTATTTGTATGCAGGCTGTTGATTGCTTGCTGCTCAGGCAGGTGTACTCCAGCTTTGAAGAAAACACCCCTAATTAATCGTCTCCTACGACATACTTGTTTGGAGAAGGGGGAGGGGAGTTGGTGTACAGGTGTATTTCTTGTTCTACAAAATGAAGTTCTGGAGCCAACATGGAAAGATTATCCATGACTTCCATGGTAATATTAGAGGGTTAGGTGCTGAGATTCTTGGGAAAGAAAACTATAGTGGTTGTTCAGTAAGAGCTGCCATAGTAAATTGGGTAGGCTCTTGAGAGCCGATTTAAACTTGTTGTGTTTGAATCTTAATTTGAGTAGTTTTTTTATAATTGACCTGGCCTTCCAGGTTGACACAGCCTTTAAAAAAATGCAAACCAGGGGGAAAATGGAAATTAAAAGCGCTTGGCAAATTTTTGATCACATCATCGGTAAAGTGCCAGTTTCCAGAGCTACCAATGCAGTTTAAAAATTAATATTTCCACAAGATTATCAATCATAGAATCAACTCCGTCACTTACATCTGCATCTTGCTTTTCAAGTAGGCTTTGACTCGTGTGGGTTCCGGGGCCCTATTATAAGGAAAACAAGAATAGACAAACTGCCTACCCAAAGGCATGTCATAAGAGTCGGCTAATTATGAGCTTTCTTCAAAGTCGGAGTACATCTGCCTGAGAGGCAAGGAACCAACAGTCTGCACACACATTTGTCAGATCTGCCAAACAGATGCACACGCAACACAGGTTCTGGAACAGGACTGCAGTCCAGAAGTGGACAAACAACCAAAAACTTTCCACCAGAGTTTACAGCTGGTGAACGCAAAGAAGAACAAGAAAAAGTAGGCTTTCATTTACATCAGATAAAGAAATAAAGGACTTGACAACCCTTTATATGGGACATTTCCTCTCTATCCGCATCCTCAGTGCAGTTTCTAATATTGATGGTGCTAGTTGCGGCCTGAATTCAAGTCTCTTCTCCTTTGGGTTGAACATCGCAAACATTCTGCCTACTCCCTGGCAAATCAATCTTTGCAGATACGGTGCTGTGTTCTGTTGCCCTCATCACTTGATCCTAGAAAGTCTTCATCCTAGAAACAAGTCTTCTCCCAGAGCCTGGTCAGTGTGGTTCAGATCAGGTTCTTTTGAGGTCAGAGTGCATCTGCCTGAAGCAAATAAGCCAGATCTGTAAACTGATCTACATGCAACACTCAGGCTTTGGACAAAGCCAGAGTTTAGAAGCAGATGAACAACCAGGCCTTCTGCCAGAAGTTACAGGCCATGAATGTTAAGAAGAAGAAAAAGAAGAAGAAGAAGAAGAAGAAGAAGAAGAAGAAGAAGAAGAAGAAGAAGAAGAAGAAGAAGAAGAAGAAGAAGAAGAAGAAGAAGAAGAAAAAGAAGAAGAATGAGGAGGAGAAGTGGAAGATGAATCCGCCTGTTCCCATAGTTTTTATGTTACCCTGGTTGAGGAATTAATAGATGCTCCACTTTGTCCAAGGTGACCATTGATAGGGTAGAAGGTGCCTTACACTGCCTTTGTTAGGGAATACCACAACTTCCCCACCTAAAGGATATTCATGTGAAGATAACTAGAATTTATAGAATTAAAATGCTTACTTAAAATTCATTGAAATATTTCATGTAAATAATTGTAAATCTTTCAAGTAATCTTGAATTTACTGTAATTTATTCTCATAGGACCCTATGTCTCATCGGATCATTGAAAAGAGACGACGAGATAGAATGAACAACTGTCTAGCTGATCTGAGCCGACTTATACCAAGCAGCTATCACAAACAGGTACATAGCATTATTTACAACTATATTTTCTATTTGGTCATAGAGAACACGACAAGGGACTAACAAGAATGATGTGCACTTTTCAGGAAACTGGGTTGGAATCCTGTGTAAGATGGTGGGGTTTATTTTTTTTTTTTTTTCAGGGGCAAGGCAAAAAAAAATTTAGCACAAGTAGCAGCCTATTACATCTGCTTTTGAAAATTCCCAACTGCTGGGATCTTAAATATCCACAACATGGTCAAGGGTCTTGCATATTTGTTGCCCATATCTGCGAAGACTAGACATCTGATCCATTGCTCAAGGATCAGGAGAGAATACATTATTTGGTTCCCTATTCTAAAATAATGCAGTCAACACTATGTGATAAACTAGTATGCTTGAGAGATGGCCATCACATTTTTTTATCTGCTCTTAAATGATATACCAGTGACTTATCCAGTAATTTTTATAAAATATATTTAAGGAAGAAAATCTTCTTCTTCTTCATGTTCACTGGCTGTAAATTCCGATTCTTGCTGTTTGTCCACCTCTAGACTTTTTTCTTATTGCAGAACCTGAGTGTTGCGAGCACATACATTTAACAGATCTAACCTAACTATGCAGACTGTTGGTTCCTTGCCTCTTAGGCAGATGCACTCCGACTTCGAAGGAAGCCCCCAGTTAGTCAACTAATAGGACATGCTTGTTGGGGAGGCAGTTGGTCTATTCTTGTTTTTCCCACAATGGGGCCAGGAACCCACACGGGGAGGGAAAGAGATAATTTCAGTTATATAAATAATTTTGTTCCTGATTGATAATTATCAATTTTTTAAAAAGATTTGTTTCTGTGAATTCATTAGCAGTAATTGTTTAGTTTAATTAAATCAGGTGGAAATAGGCTGAGAATGTAAACATTTATGAAATACTGTAATGATATTGATATTTTCCAGGGCCAAGGACGCATTGAGAAAACAGAAATAATTGAGATGGCCATTAAACACATCAAGATCTTACAGCAGCGTTTACATGATATAGACAGAAGTGAGTCACTGATGCTGTTTTTTAATTATTACTGAAAACTATAGGGAAGTTCTAATACACAGACTGTGCATTTGCTTAGTTTCTTTTTTTTTTTTTTTACTGTTCTTAGTATTTGCAAAATGTTATTTTCATTGCTGCCTTTTGGAGAGATTCTTAGTCCTTTGACCCCCTTGGACAGATGTTCCATTTATTGTCATCATTGGAAGATGTTCGTTCATTGCCATCATTGAAAAGATTCTCGATTCATTGCCATCCGGGGAAAAATTCTTGGTCCTTTGCTGTCCTTGGACAAATTCTCTAACCTTTGCCACTTTTTGAAAGATTCTCAGTCTTTTGCCAACCTAAGACAGATTTTCAGTTCATTGCCATCATTGGAAAGATTCTTGATTGATTGCCATCCTTAGAAACATTTGTTATCCTTTGTCGGTCTTTGAAAGATTCTTGATCCTTTGTCATCCTTGGAAAGATTCTTGATCTTTGTCATCCTTGGAAAGATTCTTGATACTTTGTCATCCTTGGAAAGATTCTTGATCCTTTGGCATCCTTGAAAAGATTCTTGATCTTTGTCATCCTTGGAAAGATTCTTGATACTTTGTCATCCTTTGAAAGATTCTTGATACTTTGTCATCCTTGGAAAGATTCTTGATCTTTGCCATCCTTGGAAAGATTCTTGATCTTTGTCATCCTTGAAAAGATTCTTGATCCTTTGTCATCCTTGAAAAGATTCTTGATCTTTGGAAAGATTCTTGATCTTTGTCATCCTTGGAAAGTGTCATCCATCCTTGGAAAGATTCTTGATCTTTGTCATCCTTGAAAAGATTCTTGATCTTTGTCATCCTTGGAAAGATTCTTTGTCTTTGTCCTTGGAAATTCTTGATTCTTGATCATCCTTGGAAAGATTCTGATCCTTGATTCATCCTTGGAAAGATTCTTGGTTGTGATCTTTGGAAAGTCATTCTTGGTCCAGTGTCATCCTTGGAAAGATTCTTGATCTTTGTCCTTGGAAAGATTCTTGATCTTTGTCATCCTTGGAAAGATTCTTGATCTTTGTCATCCTTGGAAAGATTCTTGATCTTTGTCAGCCTTTGAAAGATTCTTGATCCTTTGTCATCCTTGGAAAGATTCTTGATCCTTTGTCATCCTTGGAAAGATTCTTGATCCTATGTCATCCTTGGAAAGATTCTTGATCCTATGTCATCCTTGGAAAGATTCTTGATCCTTTGTCATCCTTGGAAAGATGCTTGTTCCTTTGTCATCCTTGGAAAGATTCTTGATCCTTTGTCATCCTTGGAAAGATTCTTGATCCTATGTCATCCTTTGAAAGATTCTTGATTTTGTCATCCTTGGAAAGATTCTTGATCCTTTGTCATCCTTGGAAAGATTCTTGATCCTATGTCATCCTTTGAAAGATTCTTGATTTTGTCATCCTTGAAAAGATTCTTGATCCTTTGCTATATTTGCAAGTATTCTCAGTCATTTTCAATCCTGGTGTATAGATTCTTGATTCTTTGCAAGTTCCCTGACCTCATGCTGGAAAGATCACTAGTAGAAGAGGCAGAGGCAGACCAAGATTAATGTTGGTGGATGGCTTATGACAGTAGCATGGAGGAATATCATCAGTGGAACTGATCCAAAACACCAAAGACTGAGATCTGTGGAGATGCATGAACGCCTATGCCAGCTGGCAAGGCACTGATGATGATGATGGTGATGATGATTTTGGCCAAATCGCCCTTCAATTGCTGATTAGTTTCTAGAAACATAAGTCCATCATCATATGCTTGAGTGCCACTGGCACTCACTGAAAAAGGGTCAGTCAAATGACTAAACACAGATCACAAATGATATTCTACAGAAAAATTTTCATTTTTACTTTAAAATTAATTATTGCACATTTACTTATAAATATTGAAAGGACAGCATTTAGTGCACATAATTTTAAGGTTCATGGTCACTGAACTTTGTTTCATTTTATATTGTTTTTACTTTTTTTATATCTCATTTATTACCACATATAGAGTCATTATAGTTTTGACACCCCTGGAAATAATTCATTTGTAACAGTCATATAAAATTCACAGAAAAGAAACCTACTTCAAGCTATCATGTGTTTTGTGAATTGATCTTTAATTTTACCAAATGTTACACATTTGTTGTACATTTTGAACCTGACATTCCACTCTTATAATTTCTAGAAGTTTGTAAAGAGGACAAGGCCACAACGCAGCCATCTTCTAATGAGCATCATTGTTGCGCCACAAAGTTTTACATGGGTTTCAAGGAAGCACAGGTTTGAATTATTTTCAAAGCTTCATATCTATCTAGAGTAGTCAGTACAGTTTATGACTGCAGTAAATCTAATTTTAAAAACTATTTGTAAAAATGGTCTCTTTGACAGCAGTGTTTGTTGGCAGGCAGCGTGGTCTCAAGGTATGGTGTCTGCCTGGAGTGCTAGAGGTCCTAGGTTCATGCCCCAGTGAAGGCTGGGATTTTTTTCTGTTTACGTGGACTTCTAGTAATGTCCCCTGGTCTCTGGGTAGTGTGATCGGACGCCTGTTTTTATTGTTTTGGATGTTAGAAATTGAAAAGAATAGCCTAACGGCGCTGTCCGGGCAAAATTTGGAGTTAAAAATCTACCCCAAAATATTTAAGGATCCTCAACGGTGCTACGGAGCCTGTGCACTGGGCTGAGCTACTTTGGACTCGACTCGAGTTAGAAGTAGAACAAAGCACTTATGAGTTACTACCTGTGTGCCATGATGTTGATCCGTTGTTCAAACTTCAGTAGTATTTGTCAGGTTTAAATAAATATTTACTAATATCGATGGAATTTGCAAGGGGTGGGACATACAGAGAGAATGGCTGGTAATAGAGAGACAAAAACTGTACATACATAAATTGTATGCAGAGTAGACCATGAGAAAGAAGATTATTATGGCCTGGAAGAAAGAGGCATCTGGGTGTAACAGGAGGGTCTGGTTGGCTAACTACACTCAGAGGACATATAACCAGATTGCGACCAGTACCATCAGTATTGGAACTCTGCGCTGGCTGCTGAAGGTGAGGACGGAGCATGCATGGGAATGCCTCAAGTGCTGTGATGTCAGTTCTTGACTTAACACCATGAAAAAGACAAAGAAGACCTTGCAAGGATAATATTTAGGCAGATGTAAGAGTAAAAAGGGAGAGCCAGTCATAGAGATGAATTAAGGTATGTGATATCTGCAGCAATAAACCTCAATGGCCATATATGATATCTGCAGCAATAAACCTCATGGGTCGTATGTGATATGTCCAGCAATAAACCTCAAGGGTCATATGTGATATCTGCAGCAATAAACCTCAAGGGTCGTATGTGATATCTGCAGCAATAAACCTCAATGGCCATATGTGATATCTGCAGCAATAAACCTCAAGGGTTGTATGTGATATCTGCAGCAATAAACCTCAAGGGTCATATGTGATATCTGCAGCAATAAACCTCAAGAGTCGTATGTGATATCTACAGCAATAAACCTCAAGGGCTATATGTGATATCTGCAGCAATAAACCTCTAGGGTTGAACAGCTGAAGTGGAAGCAGACAGAATAGTTTTTATACTTTTACAGAAAATAAAACAATTATTTCTTGTTGTAGATGGAATTATTTTGTTTAAATATCTGAATAGCTAAATAAAACATATTTTATCTTCATTTTATTTACAATGACCTTTTTTTTTTTAATTCTTAATCATTCTGCCACAGAACTTTATTACTTCAACATGTTTCCCTTCAATGACATACTTCCATCTCATGATAAACCCACAGGTTGTTGACTGATCTTTATAATTTAATGTCTTTTTATTTAAAAACTTTGTTTTGTTTTTTTAAATCTCTAAGCAGTGTCTCTCCACTTCTTTTTTTTTTTCTTTAGCTCTTTATCGCTCAATGGAGCATAGGCTCTCATTCAGCACAATTGAAGACGTCTTATACTTTGCTATCACATGCAACTTACCCCATTTCCTCTCCATCTTTATAACTTTATTATCTAGTTCTCTTCTCTCTGTGCTTTTTGGTCTGCCTTTATTTCCATGCTGCTGTGCATTCCAATGTGAAGCCCTTCTAGTTATACTGTTCTCAAGTTTTTGTAAGCATATGACCTATACAGCAGTTTCAGAAATGCCTTTTGTGTCTTTCAGGATGAGGTGATGAGGTTCTTGGTGGAAGTGGAGAGTGTCAATGCTATGGACCCTTTCTGTAAGAAGATCATGAATCATCTGGAGAATGCAAGCAAGAAATTCATCACAGAACGTAAACATTTTTGCATATTCATTATAACAATTAGCTGTATGAACGAGGTAATAAAGAAAAGATATCCATTACATCCTTTGGGTGCACTGCACTGTAAAAAAAAAATAGTATGTTGTTGTTTTGTTTTTGTTTTTTCTTGTTTAAAGAAAGAAGAAAAGTCCAGCATATCGGGGACTGTTATAGTAACAAAAAAACAAAATCTTTCAACATTAGTAAGGTTGGGGTGGTAATAAATAAACAAAATTAGGCTAAGGCAGCAGCTATAACATTATTTGTAGCTTCAGTGGCAGAAGTATGACTGTGATAGCAAAGACGGCATTTACAGAAAAATTAAACATACAAATTAAAATGAACCCTCAAAAATGTACAATTTGATCTATGGAAAAGAATTTTCCATATGTGCATTAGGCTTCTGAATATGCACACATTTTTTAATGTGAAGAACAGCTTTATAGTCATTTAAAATGTCTTTTTAAATCCACACACACTGCACACACTAAAAGGAATTAAACAAAATAATTTAATACTTCATCACAAAAAACAGCTGGATTGAAAACCTGACACATGAATAAGTTATAGGAATTATACCAAAACAAAGAAGATTTTTTAAGACAGACTAATCAAAACATGAAAACTCTTACCGCAGGTCACACCCTAAAACAAAGCAGCCACAACAACAACAAAAACAAGAAGGGAGTACTGTAGGAAAATCCTAGGGAAGAGGGAAAGAATTGGCTGAACAACTGAATGGTATAACCGTTGCCTCTTTTCTCTACTTCTCACCCGTCGCTTGCATGTATATTTTCACGTTCTGCTACCCCCACAACGGTCGAGAGTATGGAAACTGCAATATTTATATATTCCTATGCTCCTTGTAACTGCTTTCTTCTTCTTGGGAGGAAGCCACCACCAGCGAACATAGAAATACAAAAACATCCCAGTTTCAATAGTGAAGAATCGTCGCACCTGCAGCGCTTTTCCCTTCAGTACTTATTACTTGTACACAGGTGCTTGCATCACCTGAAATAGACTCACAACACCCCAACCTCCCTCAAACATTACATACGATGAGCGAATGCCAAACCAAGACATATCATAACACCCCTGCAACAAATGAGAGGTTCAGTAACCTAAGGAGGCATGAATGGCAAGGGAAGTTACTCTAATCCTGGGCCTGGAAATGTGAACAGGTCCATAAAGTGAATGATACATGTATTCTGATTAATAAATTTAGACACTAGTAACACCTCTTCTCTTACATACAGATGGTTTTCCCTTGAAAATATTTGTTATTGTGTTAGAATTTGCCCTGTTTAATAATTCTAGCATATTGAAAATGAAGGTCATTGTTTAAAATTAGCCAAAGATTATCATAATCACACATTCATAACAGAAACAGTTGAAAACACCACCTTTCATATTTCACCAGATTTAATGTGAATCCCTTTTTTCTGGTTTTAAAACTCTTGAAATATCATCAAATTACTCGTGCCACCTACAATTAACTCCTAAATATTGTAAAGTCTGTAGTAGGAGCTTATATTCCCAAGCACTCACAATTGTACAAGATCTATTGAAAGTTTGGTATTGTGCTGGTTAAACATTTTAAATATCAAGATGTAATCATTTTAAACTGTGTTAAAATGCTTATTTTACTAAATATGTCTTCTGCTTTCTTGACAAATACTAATATGCCAGAAATTGTCCACTGCTATGATACAGCTGCGCCCTGCCGTGCTCCACTTGATGATGTTGAAAAGCCAGATGTAACTGGGATGGAGAATGATAATAGCCAGTCCAGTTTTTTACAGCGCTCAGCATTTTACCCAGCATCCACAGGTGGTTCAGTCATCCAGGGAGAAAACTCTTTGACCATGGACAACAAAGACCGAGACAAACATCTACGATCATTACTGGCAGAACAACAGCACTCCATGGCCTCCTCAAATAATGGAAGTGGCAGCATGTCTGAAACCAGTTCAGGTTCACAATGTGAGTTACAAACTATATGCATTTTCTATCCCTGTCAGAAGCTGCATATATCTATCTTCCTCCTCCTCTTACTTCTTCTTTTTCTCCTCTTGTTCCAGTTACTTTATCAAACAGTGGGGGTGGTAGGGGGTATTTAATGGTGAGACAGCTTCTACTGAACTTTGTTTGACTTTATCTTGGTTTTACTGTGTTCATATCTTATTTATAGTTTAGAGAACACTTGAAATAATTCACCTGTAACAGTCATTTAGGACTCGAAGAAAAGAAACCTGCTTCAAGCCGTCATGTGTTTTATGAAATAATCTGTAATTTTGCCAAATGTTGTACATATAGCCATTTTATAAATTGTCAATATAAATTGTGTACTCTTTCTAATGCATCGGGTAAGTTGATATTCATTTCTGTAAGCCACCCGAGAGATAAAGAGCATTACGATTCCATTGCAGCCAAGGAGACAATATAACCATCTTCTCATGGGGACAATTAGTAGAAGTACTTTAGAGTGGCTGCTGCTTCGGAGAACTGAGCACGCATGGGTATGCCCAATGTGCAGTGACATTAATTGTGATAACAGAACATAAAATAACATCTTAGTAGGGAGTCGGCAGTACGAAACCCAAGTTCAAGGCGTCTCCTTCGTGCCAAAGAACTGCATTGCTGTTGGGTGAACAGTCGTTAACGATGACAGGCAGGTCGTTGTAGGGGCGACGCCTGCTGGTGGATGTAATGTCCTAAGTCCCTTCCCCAGCTAATAATGAGGGTACTGCTGGGGTGACCGTTTATTAACCCTCATATAATTCTTCCGGTCAAAATGGACGCTAGGTACGGCCTTCTTTTTTTTTTTTTAAGCCGTGGCAAATATTTTTCCAGACGTTGGCCGTTGCATTTTTGCTCCATTTGTAGACTGGAAGGATGTAGTTTTGTCGCCCAGCTTCTGAGTTGAGTGCATGGCGTGACACTGTGAGCTGCGCTTGTTTTTCGTTGGCACAGGAGCGGAGCATATGTGGGGTGACCCGTTTGCTATGAAGCTGAAACTAGGATTACCAGATTACCAGATTACCATTGCAGCCAACCTTCATTTTAGATACTTAATTGCCTCATACTGATTTTCAGGCTTATTAAGGAAAAATTGTCATCAGAACGGTGCCATGCTATGATACAGAGAGGTGACTGCATCAGTTGGCACCGTAAGGCAGCAGCAACATACATAAGGAGGTGGCATAAGCAGTTAAATAAAAATACAATTTAAACATTGCAGAGGCGGCATTTCAGACTTGCCTCATACTGAGCAAATCTACCACACGGTCCTGGTTATCATGATTTTAACAAATAATTCAATACAGTGGACCATGAACTTAAGAATGTCTAATCCTCTTCTTAGGTCTGGTTCCTCTCTTCTCCTACACCAACCACATGCATGGCATGGGAGCTGCAACTGATCAAAATGGCGTGGGAAGCAGTGGATATGTTTCTGATCTTTCAAATTTAGAGAAGACATCTCCAAGTGGCTCAACGTCTTCAAGGTAAAATACTAACTAAAGGTTTTACATTATTAGTAGTTGTAGTAGCAGCAGTAATAGTTAAAAGGTAAAAGGTAAGGTTGGGAGATGTGAACCAGTGTCATTGCACATGGTTATAAACTATAAGTGCTCTGCCACCAGTACAGATAATACGAAACTGCCCGCCTGTGTCACCGTCCGCACGCAACTCTGTTGCTAAAGCAACGTTCCTCCATTTACCACCGAGTGGTAACTCTGGTACCCATTACCTATAGGCTGGATGAACCCTGGGAACCGCCCAGTTTCGAACACCAGCCATGGGCTGCAGCGAGTCGCATTTGGATTTGAAAGCGAGTCTCCTATGGACTGCGCTAATTCGGCCCCCAGAAATAGTAATAGTAGTTGGGGTTATTATGGTGGTAGGGTGGCAGTTGTGGTGGTGGTGGCTGTTGTGGTGGTGGTGGTGGTGGGGTAGCTGTAATAACAGCTGCAGCAGTATTTATTTCATTAATATCCTGAGAGTTGCTCTGGACAGTATGTGTCTGGGTATCTGAATGCATGCATGTTATTCTGTCATCTGTGTGAAAATTTATGTTTACTTTGTGTGAAAACTAATAATATTGCAGATGCAAAAAAAAGTTTTTTAAACGCAACTAACCAATAATGAAAGCAAAAAAAAAATTATGTCATGAAGAATTAAAGACCTTTCTAAGTGATTAGTGACTGAAATCTAAAGAAAAGTAAGTAAAGTACATTTTTATCCCACCAGGACATCACACAGAGCCATAAACATCCAGTTACACAAAGTACCACCATGCGGATGAGGATCACCTGTGGAGAGGTCCCAGAAACCGCGTTCAATTGTTAGGCTATATTGCGGCCCCCGGCAACAGCTAGGGTGGGTCTAGTAGTAGTAGTACATTTTACCCCACTAGAAAATCACACAAGTGATAAACACCCGATGACACAAAGTGCCACCATATGGTTGAGGATCACCCATGGAGTGGTCCCAGAAACGACATTCAGCCATTAGGCTATATTTATTTCAGGGCTTTATTGTGGCCCCTGGCAGAAACCAGAGTGGGGCTTCAAAATAACGAAAAATTGAATCCCACTAGAGGATTATTGAGAATTGAGTTGGTGGGTCTAGAGAACTGACTGACTGACTTTCTACCCCACCAGGACATCACACAAGCGATAAACACCCGAGACACAAAGTGCCACCATGTGGATGAGGATCGCCATGGAGAGGTCCCAAAAACCGCGTTCATACAATTGGCCATATTTATGACCTGCCTATATTGCAGCCCCTGGCAAAAGCCAGAGTAGGGCTTCAAATAACAAAAAATTTCGTCCTAAAAAGGACGAAACCGGATATACATGTATAGTTTTTGTTAGGGTCTAGAGAAAACAATGAGAACAGCATCACATATTCTGGAGGAAAAAGAATGTTTCCCTTTTTTTTAATATATAGATAATTTAAATAGTATTCTTATAAATGAAGGCTGTATTTAGATATTTTCATTTAAATTTCCTTCTTATTCATTTAATTAGATTTTCTTCTCAGTTTCTTCCTTCTTCATGGCAACTTTTTCTAGTTGTTTCTTCTTCTATTCTTCTGTAATTCTGCTTTTTTTTTTTTTTTTAATCTCCCTTGTACTCCTTGTCATCCTTTTTTAATACATCCTCAAACACTGATCTGTAAATATTTGTAAATATCAGTGATCTGACTGAGCTTGATATTGTTTAAAATCTGGCATCATCATGTCAGACTTTATCAAAGAAAATTCACTGCTACATGACCAACTAACATGTGTTTTTTTTTAATTGAATTTTTTTGAAAAAAAAATCACTTAAGAATGAAAGGATTATATAGCTCCTTGTCGATTAATAATGAAAATGAAGGCTGTGAATATGATTTCTCTTTCACAGGGACAATGTATACAAATTCAAACACAACATCACCAAGCGCTTCTCTCAGGAAGGACATCACCACCACATGCATCACCACATACAGAACCACCACCACCACCACCATCACAAGCATGGACAGCCCAGCGACACCAGCTCTAGTACCAGCAGCCGCGACCTGGAAGATGATCAGAGCCAGCTCAAGTGGAAGAGCAACAAACACAAAAATCGTCAAGGTGTCACAAGCAACTTGTACCAAGATGAGATGGAAGGACAGAGCGGGGGCAACAACTCTGCCAATTCTGATGAATTCAACTCGGAATCGGTTTCCAATGAGTGCTCACGAAGGCGGAGCTCATGTAAAGGAGGAGGGCAGAACACAAATCACAGCGGTGATGGTGGTTCATCATCTATTGCCCTTCCTGGGTTCATTCTTCACCCACAGGGCACCCATTACATGCCCATATCAGTTCACAATACAAATATTACTGGTCTTTTTGAACATACTTCCGAGCATGATGGACCAATGGTTTTCCACCCAATAAGCATTCCTGTTCACTTTAGACGACCTGTAATCTCCATGCCCAATATAACCATTTGTACACATATGTCTTCACAGTGGAGAGGAGACAGAAGTGTTAAAGAATAACCACACAGCAAGTATTTGAAATTGTTAAATATTTCTACATAGCAAAAACTAAAATAAAATAATCTGCCTAAGGCACTGTTATTCTTTTGAAACTGTATGTGTCGGCGAACACTGGTAGTTTAAAAGATGTCACACTTATTTAGAACAGTACAACCTTTTATGTGTTGGCAAAAAAAGCTGCATCAGAAATGATTAACAATACCCAAGACATCAGGTTGTGAAATGACATGATTACCAATGCTACTTGGCATTATACATGGCATTTGGAAGAAGAAGACGACGATAATATTTGAGTTAATGTGAATTTATTCTGTGGTTTTAATATATTGTGGCCTTTTTGTTGTGATGTCCCAAATAATTGATATGCATCACTGTTAGCGGCTTTATCATGCTACAACTGGCTGCTTTATTCGTGAAACTTTGCTATTTTGTGTCATGAAACTATTAGATTCTATGGCAGTCATCATTTTCAGAAGGACTGAAATAAACTTTAAAAACATGTCACCTGTAAAACACACTGACATAAAATAATTAAATGATTCTGTCATTTGTTTACTTCTTGCAGCAGATAGGGAACTTTTCAGTGTATTTTTTTTTTTAAATATATTTATAATTGACTGATCAAATATATTTGCTTTCTTGGCTGCTGCCTGGTGGTTTTTTTAATCCCTGCAATCCAATGAGCTGCATCGTGGATGGATGTCAGTCCAACAGGATAAATCCCACCTATCATGTTCAGCTTCATAAGAAGTTTCTAATAAAGCACCCAAAGTTTCTGCAAGACTCTGATGTCTTTTTTTTTTTTTTCTTTTCTTAAAGTTTATAATTCAAAATTCATGGAAGCCTTTTTGTTCAGTCAATAAGAAATTAGGACTGATATAATTGTTGAAAGACAATCATTTCTGTGAATATATTTTTCAATTTTTTTATTTATAATATTTATAAATTTTATCTGCATAAATCAAACATTGAATCATTATTATGCCATTAGAATCCTTTTTGACTTTCATGTTTAGAAAGTATTACATTGACAGAAAGTGTTTGGAGTATGTGCCCCTGAGGGCCAGTTTGTTAAAATCACAATTTGTAAGCTAAAGCCAACATAAAAGTATTGTACTTGAAGTCAGTACTGTTATATATGTTGCATAGATTTATGGTTTGTAAAGATACACGTCTGACCATACCTACAGCTTCAAAAGTTCTTTCTTGGATGGCAAACACTCAGGACAAATTTGAGACACACTGCTAAGCCTCCAAAAAAGCAGTTATAATGTATATGATAGTCAAATTGATTCAGACATTGCTAGCAGCTGTAGAAAATGTGTTCTTTTTATTTCTACAATATACATTTACAAAAAGCTTGCAAATAAATTCCAACCATACCTATAGAATAATTATTATGGATTTTACTTAAAAAATGACTAAGCATGGATTGCTACAATTAATATGGACTAAACTTATCTCTTATCATATGTCTCAGTGTGAAATATGTAAATATGCTGACATTCAATGGGTAAATTTTCTTCTCATTGTGAGTGGTGATGATGTTGAACACTTGTTGTTACTGAAAAATTGGATCTGTACATATTTCATGTTTTGTTGCTGTTTGATGCCAAAGTGATTTCAATATTTGTGCAATTTGTGCTGTATAATGATGATAATATCGAGGAGGTGTAGGGAACTCACCAGTCAACATCAGTTAGTGACCCAGTGACACAACGTGTTATGGGTGTATGATAATGGTGATGATGAATTGATAAAATTGCTAACCATCTCTGTGCAAGATGGGCTTTTATCTGCAGACAGAGACATAATTTGTGTACTACATTTTTTGGAGAATGGAGTTGCTAGGGAAAAATGATGTTCATCTTCATTTCAACTGAAAAGGATCTATCTCAAGAGGAACCAAGCATAGCGTCATCAGTGAAGTAGTTCATCTACATTTCAACTGAAAAGGATCTATTTTAAGAGGAACCAAGCAAAGCGTCATCAGTGAACTGGTTTCATGATTTGTCAAAGTCCTGGAAAACGTTGTCTACATTCCAAGCGGGCGTACTGACATTGACAGGTGACCAAGAAAACAGGTTAGTTGCTGTTTGTTTTTCTTTAAAAAGGTTACTGATTTGAAACCAAAAATTTGTGTTTGAATTGAAACTATACTGGTTTATTCCATGACATGAAACAGAAAACATGCTGGTATTTATTTCCTTGTGAATGAATGAACCAAAATGTTTCCTTTATAATTATGTTACATTTTAAAATAATATTCTATAAGAAATTTCTTTGCCCTTAAAAGGATCATTGCAGTATTGTGTTTTCATTTACAGCTATACTGAGATATCTATGCTCTCAGCTCAGCACATGCAGTTTTAGCAAACCCCTAACTAGTCTTCTTCTTTATGTTCACCAGCTGTAAACTTAAGTGGAAAGTTCTGGTTTCTCCACTTCTAGACTGTAGTTCTTTTGCAAAACCTGAGTGTTGCATGTGCATACGTTTTACAGATCTGACTCATTTGCGTGGAGACTGTTGGTTCCTTGCTCTCTGACTTTGAAGGAAGCTCCCAATTAGTTGATTCTTACAGCCTGCTTTTGGGTAGGCAGTGGGTGTATCTGGGAGGTAGAGGAGAGGAAAACCAAGAAAGAGATGGATAAATGGTATAGCCCAAACCTGCAAAAACATGAACAAATCCATCACCCAGGCCACCCAAAAAGGGCAAGACAAATACAGAAAACCACAACACTGGGCTATAACCTGGTATCAGTGAGATGACAAAAGAAAAGAAGTGGGTCTATTCTTGTTTTCCCGACAGTAAGGCACTGGAACCCACAGGGAGAACCCTAGTTAGTCACTTTTAACTATATGCTTGTTAGAGGGCAGCAGATTGATGTTTGTGTGTGTGTATGTGTGTTTCTCCTCAAAATGGAGCCCCCAAAACTCAGACAGGAAGTGTAATGTTCTAAATTGGAAAGGAAACATGCTGTACATTAACATCACCTGTTACTGTATGCATTAGAGAATACAGAAGAATAACATTGTAACTTTCTATGCATGTTACAAGAGGCAACTATGTAGGTTTACTGACAAACTGGCTACCTCATCCTTTAGAAAATTAGATGTATATTCAAACAATCATGAAAAAGTCTACATGGAGATTTTGAATGACTTGACTGAGGGCCAATACTCTACTGCCAAAGGCAAGAAAAGAAGAAGAAAAATAATGTTTAGGAGAGGAAGAAGTAAGCAATTTATGTTAGTAACCTCCTAAAAACAGCCAAGTTTATCACAAAACGTGTCTGTCGATGTAAATTAGAAAGTGAACACAAGTAGAAAAAGAATGTTAGAAACACACACTATCTGTAATCAATGTTTTTATTTCTATATTTTTCAGTTATCCTCTTCTTGATCTGCCTCATAGCCTACCCCATTCACCTCTTTTATGTATGCAGCTTTCTCACTATGTGCCCCAACCATTACAATCTGTTAGCATAACAGTTATCTCAGCAACGTGGGTGGAATCCATCCAAGCACTCCTGTCCTCTTTTTTTAAAGTTTGTCTTGGATTTCTTGTGGATATCCTTACTCTACAAGTTTCTGTAGCTTTTCGTTTTTTTTCCAGAGCATGGAGCTGGTCCCATGCCCAACCTTTTTCCTTTCTCATTCAGACTTGGGAACTGCGGAGATACTACAAGAATGTCAGGTCAAAAAATAATGAAGCCAGACAGGAGTCTGACCTCACAGGAGACCAACTAGGGATAGCAAACCAACACAAAACTGACTAAGGGATATACTGAGGGGGGTGCATCTGAGCACTTAAGAACTGAATGGTTTGATGTACAGTGGTGATTATCTGTTGATAATTTAACTATAGCTGGGGAAAGCAGCTATGGATTTATTAGTGAATTGAAATTATTTTGAGAAATCAATAATGATGTATTGCTATTATGTGTAATATGAATGATATTTTTAACATGATAATTAACCTTGTTATTTTACTATCTTGCAGGACAAAGAGGTAAGAAAACATAATACCATACCAAAGAAGCAAAACTTGCAGAGTTCTCGGAAACCTTTACTTCTTTGCTTGTATATTTATATTCGCAGTGAAAAAAAACAACCTTTTGAAACAGAAGGTCAAAGTATTGAGTTAATTCACAAGGTGGAACAATACTTGAAATATGTGAACCAAATAAAAGGGAATTCAATGACACTTGTGTATGCTACATGAGGAGAATAATGAGGGATTTATTGGAACAAGTAGGTGTTAAATAACACAGGGTGGCTGTTGGCTGTTCCTGACATTTGGTTATGTCTTCTGGAGAATGTAGTTGATGATCAAGCATGATCCTAGCATGTGGAGCAGGAGGGAACATCTTTCTGTTTACTAACACTGAACATACTTTACAGGACTGATCATTTTGTGTGCATAAAAAAATGGAAGGAAGTGATTCTTTCCTCAGGTTCATATGTAAGCATTTTTGTTTGTTTCTCTCCTTTTGTTTCATTTTCTTTTATTATGTTTATTTCCAAATTTTTCATTTCATTTATTGAAGATGTATTTATTATAGATTTATGCTAATTGCAGTATGATAAAGAGCACAAACACTCTATATCGTAAAGGTGTGAAAAATCTGAAAGGTAAACTTTTTCAATTTATCCAAGCTCTATAGTGACATCCAATAGAAATTGCACCACAGATATTGCATTCAAAGACTCTTACTAGAATAGTTAACGTTGTGAAAATCAGAAATGTCACAAGAAGAAACACAATTTGTTTTTTGAAAAGTTGTTCTCTTGCCTGTTCTTCATGGATGTGTCTGCAAGTTAATGAGTGATGAGATGGGGGGAGAGGGGGGGGGGGGGGGGTATCTAAGGCAAAGAAGATGCAGTTTTTTATAAAATTGATGAGAATATTCTAGATTGTAAAGCAAAAAAAAAAAAAAAAAAAAAGAAGAAAAAAAACAGAGTTATTGACAACTTTAAGCTCCACTAGATCAGTTAT